ATAACCAGAGATTTATTTTTTTTCCCCCCCCCCTCTCTGGTTATCTCGCGATGAGTTTTCCTGCGGCCAGGATGGCACCGCTTAGCAGTTCCCTTCCAGGCGTGAGTTCCCGCTTGCGAAGCGCCCGCTGTACTTCTCCCCCGGGGGCTTTTCCCGCCTTGCTTGAGTCCACGGGAAGACTCGTCTCTTCCCTTTTCCCCCGTTTCAGGTTTCCCAAGAGGACACGCGAGCTCAGTTCCTCATCCCCGTCGGTTCCTTGGGCCGCAACAGAGCCGAAGCCTCGCTGGAGCGGGCGCAGAACCTCAATCCCATGGTGGACGTGAAAGCTGACCCCGAGAGCGTGGAGAGCAAGCCCGAAGAGTTCTTCACCCAGTTCGACGCAGTACGTGCGGCGGGGGGAGAGAAAGGTCGGAGGAGAAGGGGCTTGCTGACTGATGATTAAGCCTCCTCGCTAATTGCTCTTTTATTCCGGTTGCGTTAGCGCCGAGGGCGTCTATCCTTGAGCCGCGGGCAGCTGCCCGCCCGTTGCCGACGCGAGTTTTCGCGCTGCGGTTACAGGTTGAGCTGTGCCTGGCTGTTGGCAAACGGCATCTGTTCCCCTTTTGGCCCCCTCCGTAGGTCGCGTCAGGCAGCGGCTGCCTGCTTTTTTTTGGGGGGGGGGGGGGCGGGGGCAGTGGGGCCGGTAGTTGTAGGAACTGCCGCCAACCGCGGCTTCCCGATTCAGCGTTCCTGCCGGACGGTGGAAAAATCCGGCAGCGGCTCTGAAAGCGAGGGGAGGAGGAGGAGGAGGAGGAAGAACAGCGATGCATCCGGGTCTTGCAGCTCCCGCGGATCAGCTGCCCGCTCCTGCCTGCCTGCGGGGCGGCAGGACCTGTTGAGGGGAACGGAAAGCGCCGATTATAACAACGTGGCCCTGCGGGGAGCTACCCCAGGGTACCTATCCTGCTCCGCTCCCAGGATGGACAGGCCCTGAGCTTTAAAAATACCCGTATTTAGCTTCGTCCCCCCCAGTTCCCACCAAAATTAGCCGGAAACGGGATGCCGTATCCCCTAACCTCCTAATTATCCCCGGAGCGAAGGCTCCTGGAATTAGCCCGTGTGACGGGAGGGGAAAATTGATAATTACCCCGAGGGTTGCCGCCCCGCTGTGAATGAAACGGCAAAAATCT